TTGTTTAATAACATGCTATTTAATCTCCATGTGTTTGAATGTTTTTGAGTGTTTTTACTGTAGTTGATTTCTAATTTCAGGCCATTGTGATTCACGAAGGTGCTTGATATGATTTCAGTCTTCTTGAATCTCTAGAGACTTAGCTTGTGTCCTAGCATGTGGTCTATCTTTGAGAATGACCCATGTGCACTTGAGAAGAATGTATATTCTGCATCTTTGGGGTGAAATGTTCTTTAAATGTCAGTTAAATCCATCTGATCCAGTGTGTCATTTAGAGTCACTGTTTCCTTGTTGATTTTTTTTTTTTTTTCTGAAAGATCTATGCAGTGAAGTCTTTGAATTTGCTATTTCTTTTGTGTCCTGGTTTTCTGGGCCCTGAAATGGCACATCTTTGTTGATACTGATGCATATAACACATTGGAAGGAAATTAATTAGAAGAAATATTTTAATATCACTATTCACCCTTTCTCTATTAATAGAAGTGTCAACCAAATTCACAATCAACAGTGACAGATCAAAACACACGTGTGCGATTGGCGCCAGCGAGGGCTTTATATGTATCATGCATGCACAAGTTAATTTGGCCATTTATATATATAAAATAAACTTGCTTAATTAGACCTGCTTTCTGATTTAGCTAAACTTTTTCCAGCCCAGTGAAGCACCCCAACTTCTCTTTCAGTTAATTGTCAGCAACATAGCAGTAAATATCAACATGAACCAGATTTTTATTGTAGATCACGCAGGGAGAACAAAGGGTAAAATATTTAACTGCAGCAGTGTTTGACTATATTTTGCTCAGTGAGAAAACCTGAAGTCCTTTTCAAGGTCCACCATTTCTTACTTCTTTACAGTCAGGTCAAGTTTCTAAGCTTTCTAAATCTCCGTTTTCTGGCTAATGAAAAGAAAATAGGATTCCACCGAGTCTCCTATCTACCTATTCCAGGACTTCTGGGAGGATCAAATGAGATAAAGCATGGGAAAACGCTTCACAGACATTTGGTTAAAGTGTGAAATGTTTCCACCTGGCTATAAAGCTAGTCGGGTTCCTGGGCTGAAGAAACTGCAAGGAGGCTAGTTGCTAAGGAGAGGAAGCTGGGCGTTGCTATATGACATCATTACCTGGTGCCCACAGCCACTATTGCTGGGCTGGGCTGGGATGTGGGCCGCATTTTCCACCATGGGGCCTCAGCAGCGTTGGCTGCGATTTAGTGGGCTGTCACTCCGGGGTGGTTGCTTTGTGGGCACCAGGTTTGTAGTGCCCTTTATTGTTAAACTAGGAGCCTGCGGGAATCGGGCTGAAACTGGCACTTCGACATCCCCCAAGGGGTCCCGGATTGTGAGAGGCCACATAGGCCAGGCCCAGGGTCCCCACTGGCAGGGAGGCACTGCAGGAGGGCTCCAGGGCGTGTCCAGCCTGTCTCGCCCCATTCTGATCGGGCCTGGCCAGTCAGGAAGGGACTGTGGGAGGTTTCCAGGGCATGTCTGGCTCGTCTCGCCCAGTCCCGATCTGCCAGACTCCAGCAGCAAGCTAACCTACTGGTTAGATCATCTGCCCCCTGGTGGTCCGTTTTCATCATAGCGAATGGTCGAACGGTTGGAGGGACAATTCACATATTAGGCTTTTATATATATAGATGGCCTGCCGCTAGGGAGAGGAAGTTGAGCGTTGCTACATGACGTCATTACCCAGCACTCACAGCCACCATTTCCGGGCTGGGCTGGGCTGTGGGCCGCATTTTGTGCCATGGGTCTTGGCAGCATCGGCAGTGATTTGGTGGTCTGTTGCTCCAGGGTGGTGGTGGGGCCTGTGTCCCATTTGGGGGAAGCCGAGTGTTGCTTTGTCGACGCCAGGTTCATGCTGTTTCTCTGTAAATGGCAAGTGCACATCACAGCAGCTCCTGTGTTGAGCGTCTGCCCCCTGGTTGTCAGTGCACATCATAGCAGCCAGTCAGATGGTGGGAGGAACACTTAGCATATTAGCCTTTTATATATATACTAGAGGCCTGGTGCACAAAAATTGGTGCACTTGGGAGGGTCCCTCAGCCCGGCCTGTGCCCTCTCGCAGTCAGGGACCCCTCGGGGAATGACCACCTGCTGACTTAGGCCCGCTCCCCGGGGGGGGGGGGGGGGTTGGGCCTAAGCTGGCCGTCAGACATCCCTCTGGCAGACCAGGAGCCCTTGGAGGATGTCCACTTGCCAGCCGGGAGCAGGCCTAATTGCAGTCGGACATCCTTATCACTGCTGAGGAGGCAGGAGAGGCTCCCACCACCACTGCTGTACTGGTAGCCATCAGCCTGGCTTGTGGCTGAACAGAGCTCCCCCTGTGGGAGCACACTGACCACCAGGGGGCATCTCCTGCATTGAGCGTCTGCCCCCTGGTGGTCAGTGTGTGTCATAGTAACCAGTGATTCCCAATCACTCTGCTGTTAGGGTCAGTTTGCATATTACCCTTTTATTATATAGGATAGAGGCCTGGTGCATGGGTGGGGGCTGACTGGTTTGCCCTGAAGGATGTCCCGGATCCAGGTGGGGTTCCCACTGGGGTGCCTGGCCAGCCTGGATGAGGGGCTGATGGCTGTTTGCAGGCTAGTCACACCCACTTCAGGGTGGGGGTCCCCACTGGGGTGCCTGGCCAGCCTGGGTGAGGGGCTGATGGCTGTTTGCAGGCTGGTCACACCCACTTCAGGTTGGGGGTCCCCACTGGGGTGCTTGGCCAGCCTGGGTGAGGGGCTGAGGGCCGTTTTCAGGCTGGCCAAGCCCCCCAGGCGACGGAAGCTCCCAGCCTCTCCTTTTTTCTTTTCTTCTTTTTTTTATTCTGGGATTTATTTACCTTCTATAATTGAAACTTTGTAGCCTTGAAAGGAGCTCAGAGCTGGCCTGGGCAGGCGGGAGGGAAGCTTGGCTTCCTCCATCACCAGGGGCAACCCAGCCTCCTACTCACTCCAGCTCCGTGGCCACGGCCGGCTGAAAGCAGGTATCTGGGGTTTATTTTTCTGCTATCATTGAAACTTTGTTGCTTTGAGTGGAGCTCAGAGGCAGGCCACAGCAGGCAGGAAGCTTGGCTTCCTCCATCATTGGGGCAACCAAGCCTCCTGCTTGCTCCAGCTCTTGGCTGCTGGCCACCATCTTGGTTGGGCTAATTTGCATATAGTCACTCTGATTGGCTGGTGGGCATGGCTTAAGGCGTAGTGAAGGTACGGTCAATTTGCGTGTTTGTCTTTTATTAGTGTAGACGCTAGAAGCCCGGTGCACAAAATTTGTGTGAGGGGTGGGGTCCCCTCAGCCTAGCCTGCACCCTCTCCAATCCGGGACCCCTTGGATCCTGAGGATCAGGCCTAAACTGGCAGTCAGACATCCCTCTCACAATCCTGGGCCGCTGGCTCCTAACTGCTCACCTGCCTGCCTGCCTGATTGCCCCTAACTGCCCCCCCCCTGCCAGCCTGATCACCCCTAATTGCCTCTGCCTGCCGTCCTGGTTGCCCCTAACTGCCCCCTCCCCCCCCCCCCCCCGCTGGCCTGGTCACCCCTTAGTGCCCCCCCCCCCCCCGCCGGCCTATTTGTCCCCAACTGCCCCCCTCTTCTGGCCTGGTCGCTCCTAACTTCCCCCCTCCCCCCCACCAGCCTGGTTGTCCCTTACTGCCCCTCCTGCCGGCCTGGTTGCCCCACGCAGCCTGCTGTTCAGTCATTTGGTCGTCCCCCACTAAGCCCCTGCCAGCCTGGTTGCCCCATGCAGCCTGCTGTTTGGTCATTACTGTTACTGTGACAGTGTCCCAGACAATTTGCATATTCATCTATTATTAGTATAGACTAGAGGCCTGATGCACAAAATTCATTCAAGGGGCTCAGCCCTCACAGCCCTGGCTTCGTCTGGAAGGTCGTCTGGAAGGACATCTGGAATGTCGTCTGGCTGTCTGGTCTAATTAGCATATTACTCTTATTATTACAGATAGACTTCAGGAGTATCGGCTGCTGCCCTAACCGGTTTGACTCAGTGGAGAGAGCATCGGCCTGCGGACTCAAGGGTCCCAGGTTCGATTCCAGTCAAGGGCATGTACCTTGGTTGCGGGCACATCCCCAGTAGGGAGTGTGCAGGAGGCAGCTGATTGATGTTTTTCTCTCATCGATGTTTCTAACTCTCTCTCCCTCTCCCTTCCTCTCTGTAAAAAATCAATAAGAAGTATTTTTTAAAAAAGAGTATCAGCTGCTGCAGACTTTGGCCTTTTAAAACCAACTACTTCCAGTGACTGTGAGTCTCTCTAACCGTTATAGAGTTCTCTTTATTTAGGGTGAATAAAATGTTCAAGATTCTTCTGAGTAGTCTAAAGCAAGCACTAGGTTATTTTCCATATACTCTTTCCCTGCGGTATGATTATTGGGTCACATTCAACCAATATAGGCAGAAAATGACAAATTCTTTGAGAAAACAAGTTGCTAATTGAAATTTTTTACAAAGAGGAGGGTAAGTGGAAGAGAGGACAAGGAAGAAGTGGGGAGTAGATGGGGTGAACAAGTCATCCTGCCTTGAAATTGAATAATGGGACCAGAGGATCAGGAGGGTTAGGTCATGTTTGTTCCCCTTCTGGGGAAGGATAAGGGGTTTGCTTGCAAGAAAAACCTCACTGCCAGGACAGCTTTTCTCCCACTTTGGGACAAGCATGTTCTCTTCTAATGTGGTTCATAGGTTGCTATTACGTACTCTATGCTGGCCTTTTCTTGGTAGTACCTAATGTATCTTACTGGATTTGGTCTTTTTGGTCAAAGCTTCACAAACCCTGCTCTGTGGTAACCTGATCAAGCTGTTTCTCAGTTTCCCATCTACTGCCTGAGCCTCTGGGGCTGCATAGCATGTCTCATTCTCAGATGAGGCAGATGGGTCAGGGAAGGTCAGTCTAAAAGTCCTGGCTTTCACAAAATTCTGGATTGAGTACACGCATTTGTGAACCTGATTTCCTGTAATCACTGCCCTTTTCTCTCCACACCTCCTTTTGAACTGCAGACTCTGGCTTGGTTGTCCCAAGTGTTTCCTATGAGCTACATAAAAAGCTGTTGTCTGTGGCTGAAAAGCATGGGTTGACTCTGGAGCGGAGACTGGAGATGACAGGCGTGTGCGCCAGTCAGATGGCACTGACTCTACTTGGAGGACCCAACAGGTAAATGCCTCTAGATTGGCGGGGGATGAGTGTGGGTTGATGCTGCTCTCTTGGGCCCCACCACAGAGCCTCACACAAGAGGCATTCATAGATAGTTGCTGCTTGTCTAATAGGAATGCCTTTATGAAGTAACTTTCCTGAATGCTAGAGGTTTTTGTTTGTTTCTCTAATCCCTCTCTTGTGAGTCCTCATTTTTCTCCCAGCAAGCCACACTTTGACTTTCTTTCCTGATAAGAGCTGGCTTTGAGAATGATGCTGACTACCAGAGGCCTGCCTTCTAAGAACCTTCAGAGATCCAGCCTTTGGCACTTGTCATTCAAAGGGGCTGGGGTACAAATCAATCCTGAGTTTCATACCTGAGAACTTCCAAAACCACCCTGACAGTTGGGTGAGAGAGCTGGAATTTGTTATCTTTGCACCTATCATTTTGGTTTATGTATCAGGAGCAGTGCTTAATTTTATTTGTGGACATTTACTGATACAATGTACTAGCCTTGTGCTAGGACTAGGGATACAGAGAAGGAGAAAACACTGCTTCTGCCCTCTAGTAGCTTAATGGGGCCCCCAAAAAGTACTATGCTGTGGTAGAGGAAAAAGATTCTCCAGCAAGCCACCTTTTTTCCTACTCCAGGAAGAAGCCAATCACCCTTCCTAGAGCAGGGCATCCAAGCTGAGCCCTGCAGAGGAAGGGCCATTTAACAGGGACAGCAGGGAGGGAGAAAAGTTGTCTAGATCTATGGAGTAGCATGTGCCAAGAGCAGAGAGAATTGAGAGACCATGAAAGGTGAGGGGAGCTGTAAGTCATTAAGTATGGCTGGAAAATAGGGCTTGGTGCGACTGAGCAGTAGGGAGCTGCTGAAGGAATTTTAGTAGGGATGTGACATGAATAGTCTTGGGTTTTACAAAGATGACTTTGGCTGAGTAGATTAAGTGGAGGCAAGACTGGAGACATTGAGACCAGTTAGCAAACTGTAACAGAAAACGGAGCCAGGGGCTAAATGATAGTGGCCTCAACCAGGGAAGTAGAGATCAGAGAAGGGGAGATAGGTGGGGGATTTTTTTTTTTTTTTTTCGGATAAAATCAACAGGGCAGGGCCATTGAATGGATGTGGGAGGTGATGGAAAGTGGAGAGTCTGTAGTCACTGAACTTTAAGCTTTCCAACATGGATATCTTGTTGGATGGTGATAACATTCACTGTGATAGGGAATGTGAGAAGAGCAAGTTTGGAGGAGATGGTGGATCTTGTTTTGGATAGGTTAGGTTTGAGAGGGCTGTGAAATAGCCAAACAGACTATTAGCAGTCTGGATCTGTGGTTTAAAAGACAGCCTGAGCAAAAGATAGAGATCTGGAGGTCATCAGCTCATAAATGGTATAGAATAGAGGAGGTCCTATAAGGAGAGTATAAAGGATGGGCTTAGGGTGGAATTCTGGGAAACATCAGCACCAAAGGCATAGTTAGGTGAGGAGCCTTCCAAAATGGCTGAAAGAGAGTTAAGAAAACTAAGAGGATAGTGCTTCAGAACCCAAGAAATAGTGTTTGAAGAATAAAGGAATGGTCAACATTGGTACTGCTGAGATATCAAGCAAAATTAGAGTTGAGAAGTGTCTGCTGGATTTGTGTCCTCAATAAAGAGGACAGTGGCAACCTTGTGGGAGAAAGGTGTCTAAAATGAACCAATCTGGACGTGATTGCTCTTCCACTCACCTTGTCCTATAGGTGTGTTTATTCCTCCTTGTCCTTGATTTAGGCTTGTTTCTCTATCGTGTTGGATTTCTGGCCTCTCCTGTGCAGCAAAGAGGCAACAGAGACCCTGTTCCTCACCCCCACCTACACACACACACACACACCTGTCCCCAAGGAAGGAAATAGTGCAAGCTACCCTCTGATGGAGTACCAGGCCCTTGGTTCTCGTGACTGCCACACCTTCCCCAAAGTGGCCACTGGGGCAGCTCCTGGAATAAGTTCTTCCTAGGAATATTTGAGGCCATTAAGTGGCTTCCCAGAAATAGTAGTTATACTCTCAAGCCAGCTTCTTGGAGCTGGCTGTCCTTGTGCCTATCTGAACTCTCAGAAGGACTGTCTCCTGTCCTTTGCAGCATTTGCTGGTTTTCCTTTGAGAAAGATTACCACTTAGTAAGCATTTTCATGTATGTCAAGGACCATGTATTTTTCGTTGTTGTTGTTGTTGTTAATCCTCACCCAAGGATATTTTTCCATTGATTTTTAGAGAGAGTAGAAGGGGGTGGGGGAGAGACAGAGAAACATTGATGTGAGGGAGACACATCGATTGGTTGTCTCCTGCACGTACCCAACCAAGGCCAGGATGGAGCCTACAACTGAGGTACATGCCCTTGACCAAAATTGAACCTGGGACCCTTCAGTCCATGGGCCGATACTCTATCCACTGAGCCAAACCGGCTAGAACGACTTTTTCACTGTGCTTTCACAACAGCAGTGAATTGGATACTCATAACTTCACCTCAAAGGTAAATAGTAGTCTAGAGTTCTAAGATGAGCTAGCTAAGGCTCAGAGAGCTAGAGCCAAAAGACTTGCCCATGTGACCCTGCTCATACATGGAGCCAGGTGTCCAATATAGATAGATCTGTTTCCAGTGCCTGTGCTCTGCTCCCTACTATTGTGTGTGTTGGTACCATGGTCTGCTTTGAGTCCTCTGATGGGGGATGCCTCTGTGAGAGGGAGAGTCCATTTAGGAAAAAGACATAGGTGAGTCATATGCCAGAACTATGCAGTGCCTGTCTGAAGATGCAAATATAGTAGAAGAAATGAATGGTATTCCCCCAAATTTATTTGGAGGGTAGGGATTTCCTCTTTGGTTTGACAGCACTGTCAACTTCCTCCCTTTGGGAGACCAGTAAGTAACTGTCACTGCTCCACCCCATGCAGGGACCTAAGCCTGTTTCTGTACATTCCCCCTACCTTCCTGCCCTGGGGGCAGACTGTACTGCCTTTGGGTTGGGCACAGCTCCAGGGCTAATCCTCCAACCTTACCTGTGGCTTCTCTGAGACCTGAGAGGAAACTGAAAGTGATGTCATCAAGAAGTGGGTGTCCAAGTCAATTGCCAGCCTAGGAGGCTGGAAAGCCCCTAGCTTGCTGCCTCCTCTATGACCAGTACTATGATAGTGCCAACATCTAGGAGCACTTTTTGTGTGTTGGGCTCTGTTCTCAAAACTGATCCACACAGCATCCTATGAAGTTGGTCCTATTAGTATCTACAAAGTTGCCCTTATTAATGCTTACTGGAAGCTCAGTAGAGAGAACGTGGACTGGTAACCGATTTAGAACTATCCGTCTGGTGCTTACTGTGAGTTTCTTAGAAGCTGAGCCAGAGTAATCCTGGAAAAGGTGAGCCTTGAGCTGGATCTCAAAGAAAAGGTGGGCTTTCTGGGCAGGGAACACAGTTTGAGCAGAATCAAGAAAGAGCTTTACGAGTGCAGGAGAGAATGATGAGACCAGACTTACTGCAGTGGGGCAGGCATGTTGGGGAAGAAAAGTAAAGAAGGCTGCTGAGGTTAAGCAGATTTTGGACCTAATAGGTTCACACTGTGAGAACAGTAAATGTTCTTGGTAAGAAAACAGTGTTCTATGGAACAAGATCTGGATGAACTACCTAGTGAGAAGATCCAGCAGATGAAGTGACTGACACTGGGGTATGGAACATGCTGTAGACCTCTGCAACCTGGGAGCATCAGGAACTCTGAGAGCAACAGGTGCCAAGGTACTCGCTTGGTTTAGGGTGCAAGGGATTGCCAGGTCTGCAATTGAGAATGCGTCTTTACTTCTGTTCCAGGTTGAATCCCAAAAATGTTCACCAGAGGCCTACAGTAGCTTTGCTATGTGGGCCGCATGTGAAGGGGGCTCAGGGTATCAGCTGTGGAAGGCACCTAGCCAACCATGATGTCCAGGTGATCCTCTTCCTGCCCAACTTTGTCAAGATGCTCGAGTCCATCACCAATGAGTTGTCTCTCTTCAGCAAGACCCAAGGCCAACAAGTGTCTAGTCTCAAAGGTGAGCACTTGCACAAGGCTGGGCTGAGGCTGCCTCCCTCCTCAGTAGTTTGATGGTCTGGTTGTACTGCCCAGTGGCGACAGGTGGAAAAACACCATGTGTATAGGCTGCTCTGCCTGTTGTAAGGAGTCATAGTACAAATGGGAACTACTTTGGTGTTGACTTGCCTACTTCCCATCCCTTTACCCTCCTTGTCCCAAACTCAGATAGAGAGCTGTTGATCCATTTGTTCATTTCAAAAATATTAATGGAGCAGGCACTGTTCCTGACAGTAGGGATAAGGCAATAGTTCTTGTGTTTTGTTTTTCTTAAATCCATGCTTCCATGGAGCTTAACATTCTGGTTAGGACAGATGAATAAGTAACATTTTTTGTAGTATTTTGGAAACAAATAAAGCAGAGAAGAGAGTGTTGGGTAAGGAGTAACAGACGTAGATATTCCCACGTCAGGTCGACAAGAGCCTATGGATGGATCACTGTAGGGGTTTGAACTTTTACTAGGGTGAGATAGAAAGTCACTGGAGGAATAAATAGAAGAAAGGTATAATCCAGCTCACGGTCCACATCAAAATTAACTAAATCACAGAACAACTGTCATTCAGAATCACCTGAAATCTGGCTGAATGGAGGTCCTACAACCAGGGAATTAAAGAAAGTACATTGAGATTGGTAGGAGGGGTGGAGGCATGGAATAGTGTAGTCCAACACCCAGGTGTGGCATGTTTTTAACCAGGAGGGATATGTTGGCCACAGAGGCCCTCCCGTGTGGAGCAAGGGGTCCCAGCCCCACACCAGACCACTCCGCCCAGGATACCAGTCCTGGGAAGAGAAGTCTCTATAACTTCAGGCTGTAAAAACCAGCAGGAATTGTGGCTGAGTGACACGGAGGCTGCTGGAATCCCAGGCAGTTCCTCTTAAAGGGCTGGTGCACAAACTTAGACTCATTCCCTCTTGAGCTCCAGTGCTGGGGCAGCAGCTTGAAAGAATCCAGGGACATACGGGGAGGAACTAAATTGTGTGGCAGCTTTCTTCCAGACAGAAGTGCTGGCAGAGGCCATTGTTCCTTTGCTGAGACCTACCTTCCCACCACAGTGCCAAAGGCATCACCATATCTGAGTCTCCATCAACCTGGCCCATACTGTTCATCCCACCCATTCCCTGCGACCCTGCCTCACCCAAACTGTTTGCAGTGGCTTTTCCATATGAATGGGTTGTCCTGGCTCAGGCTTCAGACTTTTCTAAAATTAAATAAGCAGCAGCTGGCCTCAGTGTGCCCCATACCTCTCAATCATTGGCTCCAGGCCTGGCACTAGCAGCAGCCTGCCTTGCTTCACAGCTGGGTCTCGCCTGCGCACTTCCTAGCCCAATACAAAATACCAGCCATCTGTAGATCTCTCTGTAGCTCCTGCTGGGTGGCCCAGGGTAGAGGCTGACTTTTCACTTCTCTGGAGGCCCTAGAGTCAGTGCACCTGGTGGACAGCTTCAGACCATATCAGATTACAACTCTACACATCCACAAGAAACATACTCAAGGAGCAGACTCAGTGAGCACCAAAGCCCCACTGAAGCAAGTCCTGCTCCATAGGGGTGTTTCCTGCACAGCAGCTCTCCCACTGTAGTTGCAGCTGGTCCTTACGGCCGATTGGCCTGGAGGTCATTTCCTCCCAGTGACGCCAATAGCAATCAAGGCTCAACTACAACAAGACTGTGCACACAGCCACCCAGGGGCACACCTAGAGTGCCCAGCTCAGGTGACTGGGGAGGCTGAGCCACTGGGCTCTACAGGATTCCTACTACACAAGGCCACACTACCAATTCCAGGAAACGTAGCAGCTCTACCTAATACATAGAAACAAACATATAGAAGCTGCCAAAATTCGGAGAAAAACATGTTACAAATGAAAGAAATGGAAGCAAACAAACTACTAGATACAGAGTTCAAAACCATGGTTATAAGGTTACTCAAGGATCCTAGTGAGATCTTCAAGGGACTCAAAGAGCTTCGGGGAACTTAGTGAGACATTCAAGGATCTTAATGAGAATGTCAAAGACAAAAAAAGTCCAGTCAGAAATCAAGAATAATTTACAGGGCTTCATCAGTAGATGATTTTGAGAATCAAATCAATGATTTGGAATATGAGGAAGCATAAACAATCAGAAGAGCAAAAAGAAAAAAGAATCCTAAAATATGAAGATAGTGTAAGGAGCCTCTGGGACAACTTCAAGCGTCCCAACATTTGAATTATGGGGGTGCCAGAGAAAAAGAGGGCAAGATATTGAAAACCTATTTGGAGAAATAATGACAGAAAACTTCCCCTACCTGGAGAAAAAAATAGACTTACATATCCAGGAAGCTGAGAGAGTTCCAAACAAGAGGAACCCAAAGGGGCCCACACCGAGACACATCTATATAATAAAGAGCCAGGGTCCTAACAACCCTTACGACCAACGGCTTGACCAGACCAGAAGTCAGTGCTGGGTTGCCATGGCAACCCAGACTGGGGCCGCTGCAGGCGCCCCGGCCCAGCACTGACTGCCTAGGGCAGTGGTTGGCAAACTACAGCCCCTTGAGTGTGGTTCTTCCACAAAATACCACATGTGGGCGCACATGTACAGTGCGATTGAAACTTCAGGCCACACTCAAGGGGCCAAAGAGCTGCATGTGGCTCGCAAGCCGCAGTTTGCCAACCACTGGCCTAGGGAGCTGTGGATCAGGCCCAGAGAGAGGCCTGCAGAGAAAGATGCAGGGTCTGACCCATAGCCTCTGTGGCAGCTATTGATCAGAACTTGCCTCTCTTTCTCTCCCAGCCCGGCCAACAGCCCCGCCTCCATTTCTCTCCAGGCCTCCACCAGGGCTGCTGATTAGCCTGGCCTTTCTGATCAGGCCCCGTTGATAGGCCCAGAGATGCTGATTGGCATAGAAACTGACCAATCAGAACCAAATCTGGGTCAACTGTGAGGAGCCAATGGCTGCCTAGGAGGCGGAGCTTTTGACACTGACTGGCATAGAAACTGACCAATCAGAAACACATCTGGGTCAACTGTGAGGAGCCAGTGGCTGCCTAGGAGGCAGAGCTTTTGATGCTGACTGGCATAAAAACTGACCAATCAGAAACAAATTGGCAGGCAGAGGAGGGTAGTAGGGGGCGAGGTCAGGCCTGCAGGGGAGGGCAGTTGGGAGTGAGATCAGGCCTGCAGGGGAGGGCAGTTAGGGGTGAGATCAGGCTGGCAGGGGAGGGCAGTTGGGGGCAACCAGGCTGGCAAGGGAGGGCAGTTGGGGGTGAGATCAGGACAGCAGGGGAGGGCAGTTGGGGGCAACCAGGCTGGCAGGGGAGGTCAGTTGGGGGTGAGATCAGGCCGGCATGGGAGAACAGTTGGGGGGGCAATCAGGCAGGCAGGCAGGCAGGTGAGTGGTTAGGAGCCAGTGGTCCCAGTTTGTGAGAGGGGTGTCCAACTGCCGGTTTAGGCCTGATCCCACATATCGGGCCTAAACCAGCGGTTGGACTTCCCCGGAGAGGTCCCCGATTGGAGTAGGTGCAGGCTGGGCTGAGGGAACCCCACCCCCTCCGTGCATGAATTTCGTGCACTGGGCCTCTAGTCATAATTAAAATGCCAAGGGTTAAAGACAAAGAATCTTAAAAGCAGCAAGAGAAAAGCAGTCACTTACCTACAAGGGAGCACCCATATGACTGTCAGATGATTTTTCAACAGAAACTTTGCAGACCAGAAGGGAGTGGCAAGAAATACTCAAGGTAATGAATAGCAAGGACCTACAACCAAGATTACCCAGCAAAGCTTTCATTTAGAATTGAGGGTCAGATAAAGATAAAGAGCTTCACAGACAAGAAAAAGCTAAAGGAGTTCATCACCACCAAACCAGCATTACATGAAATGTTAAAGGGTCTTGAAGAAGAAGAAAAAAAAAGGATTAAAAACAAACAATAAAATGGCAACAAATATATATCAGTAATTGAATCTAAAACTCAGAACAAATGAACAAGGAATCCAATGAACAAAATAAACTAGTGAATAAAATGGAACCAGAGGCATGGAAACATGGAACACACTGATGAATCTCTAAGGGGAGAGGGGAGGAAGAGATTAACCAAAGAATTCATATTGGACACACACGATAAATAGGGTGGTGAGGGCCTGGGGCGGGACTGGATCATGTTGGAGGCGGACGATGGGGAGGGAAAGGGGAACATCTGTAATACTCTCAACAATGAAGAGTTTTGTTTTTTTTAAATGAGTGACTCCAAGGTCTTCAGCCTAAGTAACTGTAAGGATGGAGGTGCCATCACTGAAATAGGAAGACTTGAGGGACGAGGTTTTTGGGGAAAGAGCAGAAGCTCAGAGGTGCCGCTAGATAAACAGGTGGAAATTTATATATGTAAATAAGAGTCTGGAGTTTAGTGAAGGGATCAACTCTGGAGTTATAAGTGTGTATGTGGTATTTAAAGCCATTATGAGTCTGGATAAGGTATCTCCTAGGAAGGGAGAGTAGATAGAGAAGTTGTTAGACTATTTTCTTTGTTTACAAGTCAAGGAATCAGAGACCAGAGAAGGAGTGATCAGTGAAGGAGAAGGGAAACTAGGAGAGTCTGGTACCTGAAATACAAGTGAACAGAGGTGAGTATATTCTAGGTTGTCTAAAGAATGAGAATTGACCACTGGATTTAGCAGTGTGGAAGAGCAGTTTCAAGTGGAGTAGCGGGGGGTAAAATCTTATCAGAGTGAGTTTAAGTGGGAAAAGTGGAGAGAACAAATGTGGCCCACAGAAAGGGCTTTGCCAGGGGTCAGATGGCGAGTTGGGGCCAGAGCTTGAGCCAGTTTCTTAACTTTCAGGCCTATGGGTACTCAGACCTATGGTGCCCTGTCTTAAGTAAGGAAGCCAAAGGTCTCTTTGTAAAAAGTCATTACTTTAGGCTGAGAGCTGGGAAGGGGGCTTGCTATGAGTTCCCCTTCTTATAATCTGTAACATGATGCCCATTTCAGGCAGTTCTTTCTCTGGTTGCCCTAACGCAGTGGTTCTCAACCTTCCTAATGCCACGACACTTTAATACAGTTCCTCATGTTGTGGTGACCCCCAACCATAAAATTATTTTCGTTGCTACTGCATAACTGTAATTTCGCTGTTATAAATCATAATGTAAATATCTGATATGCAGGATGTATTTTCATTGTTTGCAACCCACAGGTTGAGAACCGCTGTCCCAATTGTGCAAGCCTGAGGATGCCAACCCTTGAGTTTGGTCTGATTTCTGCTATTCGCAGTTTAACCTCTTACCTTGGTCAAGAGTTACATGCTTACTAAAAAAACATCTGTTACTAGTATACTGTCCCAGAGGCCTGGTTATAGAAGAGAAGCCTTTGTAAATGCCTGGGAGAAGTGATAGGTTCCCTCCCCATTCTTAAGTTGGGCTGCAAGGAAGACCCATTTCCATGAGACTAGTAAAGAGACCAGCTAGATCAGGTGGCTCTAGCAGGGTGAGTAGGCTAGCCCAGAGTAGAGTAAGTGAGCATGCGCTTGCCTGCTCATTTCTAGGGCCAGTCAGCAAATGGCAGTCAGGGCCTCCCTGTGAGTGCTGACTTGGCAGTAGACCCCACCTTTCTAGAGCTCATAATATTCCCAGGAAGTTAGTCAGATTATGCTGTGAGAAGGTCTGCACACCCAGCAGGACTGTGCTTCAGCCTGTGAGTTCCATGAGGAGAGCGGTCCATCTTGCTGACATGCTGTTGGTCTCTAGCATCCATCCCTCCAAGCCTTGGAACTTCCCAGACCTCAGGCCTGGCCCAGCCTTAGAAGGTTGGCCTATGGAGAGGCACTGAAGTAGTGTCTGAACAAGACACTTGAAGGGCCACCTGGATTCTACTCCCAACCTAGGTTCTCTGCTTAGAGCAGTGGTTCTCAACCTTCTGGCCCTTTAAATACAGTTCCTCATGTTGTGACCCAACCATAAAATTATTTTCGTTGCTACTTCATAACTGTAATGTTGTTACTGTTATGAATCGTAATGATGGTCTTAGGCGACCCCTGTGAAAGGGTCGTTTGACTGCCAAAGGGGTCGCGACCCACAGGTTGAGAACCTCTGGCTTAGAGGGATTTTCAGATGATATTTTTTTCCACCTGCAGATCTGCCCACTAGTCCCGTGGACCTGGTGATCAACTGTCTGGATTGTCCTGAGAACGCCTTCTTGCGGGATCAGCCCTGGTACAAGGCAGCTGTGGCTTGGGCCAACCAGAACCGGGCACCAGTACTCAGCATAGATCCTCCAGTGCATGAAGTCGAACAGGGCATTGATGCCAAGTGGTCACTGGCTCTGGGCCTGCCTCTCCCACTAGGAGAGCATGCGGGACGCGTCTATTTGTGCGACATTGGCATTCCCCAGCAGGTATTCCAGGAGGTGGGGATCAACTACCACTCACCCTTTGGCTGCAAGTTTGTAATCCCACTACACTCTGCCTAGAGGGACTCTGGACAGGCTGGACCCAGTAGTCCCCTGCTGCTCCTGACATTGAACTAGACAACGAATGCCTTAAGAGGATGTGAAGCTTCATGGACCTTATTGTTAAAATTTTCTCTTTTGGGTTTGTTTCTTCTGTGAGAGGACAGATCATATATATTTTTTCTTTTGAGAATATGTATTTAAAGCTGACCTGTCACCTGCCCTTCGCCAGGAAAGGCTTTCCCACTGGGTGTGTGAGTCAGGTGGCAGGCTGAGTGTGCAATGGCTCCAGGCATTTCTACACTCGGTCCCCTGCATGGCCAGGTCGGGCTTTGTTTACAGACCGTAGGCAGCTTACAAACTGTTTCAGGTTTACAGCCACTGGGCCTGGAAGAACGTCTTGCAGGGTTGGGTAGGTCCTGTTTGGGGGCCTGTACTTCCTCTATTTCAGAGCTGGTGGCTTTGTCTCCTCTCTGATCATGTACAGCTGACTGCACTGCAGCTATCCACTAAAGGACAGAGTTGCACTCCCCATTCGTTTTGAGCGCTGTGAGGCCTCCCCTAAACCCCACCACAAGTAGATTTGAGGGCTTTTTACCCTTTCTCCTTAGCTGATCAAGTTTTATGCTGGGATTTTCCCCCAAGGGTCCTTCCTCCTTTCTAAACCACTCTTGAGAGGCAAGGAAAAGGGTGGCATCATCGCAGGTAATATAAGGTTATGTTACTGTAGAACCACAATGCCCATCTTGCCAGCATTGCTCCTTAACCCCGTACCCTCTCTAGCTGTGGGGGGAGGGGAGGGGGAGCATCTGCTTAGTCTGAGGCAAGGCCCCTGGTGCTGAGCCAGTAGAGGCTCCCTGGTGCTTCTGTCCTAGGCCACTCTTTGCCAGCATATACATAGCCCTGTTTTTCCCCCCCTGTAGCTATCATCCAAGAGCAGGGCACATGTCCCTCCCTTGTTGGAACCCTTTTTGGTTGTCCTGTCTGAATAGGCTTGGGACCAGAGCCTTATCTCAGAGATGCCAAAATGAGGCCAGTTCTGGGTAAGCTAGCTAATGGGGCTCAGCCATAGAAACACACTGTTGCTCAGATCCTAAGGCACTAAGCCCCTACCAAGCATATCAAACTCACGGCTGGCTTAAATAAGGCATGAGGCCTGCCGGCCTTGAGTTTGACGTTTGCCCTACCTTCGCAGGCCTAGGCCCTGAGGGCTGATAGAAGCCATGCCCTGGAGTTCCTGGCAGCAGTCCTTGCAAAAGACTTGTGCTTTAATGCCTTTCTCAGGGCTTCAGACTGCCTTATGTTTTGTGCCTACCCAGTCTGATTAAAGGGGTGAGTGGGAAAGCTCACCAAGGATCATGGACACCGGTAGGCAGGCACTGGTTTCAGGCTGCTTATCACTTTCCTATAGGAGCATAGCCAGGAACAAATGAGGCAGGGCAGAGAGGGCTGGTCCCTCTTCCTCCCATCCTTCCACAAATGTTCAATTGTTTCCAGCAGCGGGAGGACAGACTGTCAGCCCTGTGCTGTGTATCTTCCCTTGGCCTCTGCTCACTCTCAGGACCAAGCAGCTCCCAAGATTGGGCCCCCTTTTTAGTCACAGGGCCATAATCTGTGCTGGATTACAGGCATTTTAGTAAGCAATCACTAAGCAGTTCTGGCTGCCTATTACTGTGGTTAGGTCCCTTGACTGGGTACAGTGGAAAATGAGCTAGGACAACCCTGGCCCCAAAGAGCTTGCTCTGGTAAATTGCTGTGGCCTAGGGGGGATGGCCTTGAGGGGCCACTGGGAATTTATGCTCAAGCCTCTTTTTTCTCCCCCGGTGGCACTGCCCTCAGCTGGGCATTTCCCAGTCAGAGGCATCCTGCCCACAGTGCCCAGTCCCCAAGGGGCCCCAATCAGGTAGTCAAGATTCATTCAAGTAGTTCTTGGGGGACCAAAAACCAGCACTAAAATAAAGCTGAATGACACAGTCCTGTGCTCTGGTAAGTTCTGCTCTATGGGCTGCAGGGAGATACTGCACCGAAGCCCTAGGAGCCCGCTTTGTCCCATGCTTGACAGCCTTCATAAGCCATAGTTCTGGGGCACATACAGCCAGTAAAACTAGATGCCCCCTGGTGAATTACAGCAGGTCTTTCCCCTTAAAGGCCTTTATATAAAGGCCAGTGGGAAACGGGTGCAAGGCAGGGCCTACGTGCAGCAGGCTAAAGGCTAAAATTGCCCTTCTGGGCCCAAAGGAACACCCCAGCTTCTGGTCTTTTCACTGGTTGGTCCTGTGCCTGGCCCAGTTCATACTTAGCTCTCCACAAGCTGCACTGCTAAGAAAGACTTTATTAATAAGATGGGGAAGGGAGAAGGCAAGGAGCCTGGAGACGACGCACTGGTACCAGGGGTTACAAACAGTAAGAAACACTTTATTATAACTTTACAACATATAAATAGCTTGGGTCAAATCTGTGCTTTCTGGCAGCTGGGCATGTCTCCGCCCTTGCAGGCACCTGCCTTCCTTCACATTGCACTGTTCATTGGGTGGCTCTGGCCCTGGGGCCCGGTGGTTAGAAGTTGGAGAAAGAGGGCCAGGCAGCCCAGTTCCATCTCCTCATGTAGTGGCCTGTGCCTGTCATCTGCTGGGGTTGCGGCTGGTGTGGAAGGACCGCTCCTCAGGGGTCAGGCCAGCAAAGAAGGGGTGCAGCAGGGCCTCCGCCAGTGTGATGCGCTGGGCAGGGTCAAACTCTAACATCCTCCTCATCAGGTCAAACAGCTGCACGTGCTCCAGGGAGTCTTGGAGCATGTAACTCTGCTCAGGGACACAAGGTATCTCAGTGTGATGGCAGGGGCGTGGCAAGCCTTGCTGCATGAGTTGAGGCACTGATGCCTCCTGGAGGCCTGACTGCCCTCTTGGACAGTGAGTGGCTCCATTCTTTTATGCCTGTTAAAGCATTTTGCTCTGAACTTGTCAGGCTGTTTTGCTGGTTTGGTGCCTCTGCCCACACATGCAAAGTCCTCACAGGTAGGTAGAAATCACCTGTCAATGCACCAAATGCAGTTGACAGAGGCTTCCTGGTCATGTCTAGTCTTCCCTCCCCCTCACCTCAGTCCTGCCTAGTTCTTCCCAAAATTGAGAGAAGAGGGGGGCTGGAAGTAGTACGGTCTCTGGTGTTCTGGTGTTCCCCAATTATATTCATAGCCACCCTGTTGGGAAGGGGTAGGCTAAGAACCCCTCTGGAGCAATTTGAAAGAAGCCCCATTGCCAGCACCCAGCAGCCTCTCATTGTGCCAGGCAAAGGGGCAGCCTTTAGCTGCCTGGCCTGTCTCTCTGCTATATGTGTGCCCTGTGCCTTGGCATGAGTTGAGCTGGGGGAAGCCAGAAACTGACCTTCAGAGGTTTGCAGTTCTCCTTCACATACCGGCCATCAGAGCTGTTCTCATCCCAAACCAGGCCCCCTTTGTAAAAATATTTCTGCTTCCTGAAAGGGAAGGAACGGAGGGAATCGTTTGTGGGTGTGGGTGTGGGTGTGGAGATAGCAGGAGCCTGGGGAATGGCAGCAAAGCCAGGCAGGGAGTCCTGGTCTGACCCAGCAGGGCAGCAGGTTTGTCAGGTCACTCGGAGGAGCATACAGGGAAAGCTATGAGCCTGGGTGAGCCACAGCATCTTCTGCAAAGACTGTGCAGTAGCTTTTTGACCCACAAGCAAGATGGGAAAGATCTATGGGCCAGGGGTCCTTACCTGGTACGGTGGATCATGTGTGATGGGATGGGCCCTAGGATCTTCTCCATCATCACCAAATGCTCTCGGTTTTCGTGGGTCTATGGAAGGTCGGGGATAGAGCAAGCAGGGTTCAGTACAAGCCTCAGCCCCTCAGGGAGGACAAGAGAAAAAAAGTGCCTTCCCAGTTTCTGTGGCCTTGCAGCAGCCTGCTACCATTTGCCAAGGATAAGGCCATGTTTCTCGCTCTCAAGAACGCAAACTGCCCCAGCCCATCTCCACACCCTCACTTATGCTGTGCCTCATGCCTCAAATATTCACTCTTTGAGCCCCTACCCTTCTTCCTTGATGGCTGAGCTTAAGACTCCCTGAGTGCTTCAGCTATCCCTACCTCTTCCTTTCTCTGAGCATCTATGACTCTCAATCCTGGTGGGTCTCAGATGGTCTTCCCACACCAGGCCCCTGTGGCCTGCTAAAGTATGAGCACCCAGGGTAGCAGGGCAGTGTGGGAGGGGCCTTACCTGGAAAAGTGTGAAGCCCCGGTAGTACTCAAAGAGAATGCAGCCAATGCTCCAGACGTCACAGGGCTGTGCCCAGCCCAGCTCTGAAAGCCAAAATGGAGAAGCTATGAGGCTCTGTGCTCTCACCCTAGAGGTCACAAGGCAGCTGCCACACTGGTTGACAGGACTCTTGCCCAAACCCCAGTACAGGTCCCTTTCTCTGCCAGGCCAAGTTGACAACCATAGTGGCTGCTTGCCAGTGGGCGGCAGGCAGGCAGGCACACTGTTGCCTCTGTTCATTCCCTCCCAGCAAGAGCCCACTTTATCTGGGTGGGGGGCTGTATAGCCACTCACCAAGGATCACCTCAGGTGGGCGGTAATGACGAGTGGCCACAATGGTTGTGTGATGCTCATGGTCAAAGGTAGCACTGCCGAAGTCAGCAACTCGGATGCTGGTGTTCTTCACTGACTTCTCCTCACAGCTCTGAGAGGCAAGGAAGGAGAGCCAGATCAGAACTCTGTCCCAGGGGGAACCTCGCTCTGCAGTGGGGCCTCCCCCTCTCCCCATCAATACCTTGTGCTCATTGTAGAGCGTTTCAAACTCAGAATTCACAAACAGGATGTTCTCTGGCTTCAAGTCTGTGTGGGTCAGCTGGTTCTCATGTAGAACTGGAGAGGCAGGAGAGAGGGGGAAGCAGGCTCTGAGAACCTGGGCTTCTCTGGCTCCTGCCAGCTCTAGGCCAGATCCATCCTCCAAAGCCAGTCTGCCAGAGACCCTCACACCATTACCTCAGCAGTGGGCTGAGGGAACAGACACAGCTCTGCCTCTACACTGGCTTCCTTCTCAAAGATTCTCTGTGCTTGGGGTCTTGGAGGGTTCAAATGCTTGAGAAGATGGGGGCGGGGGGACTTTCAATTCAAAACACCTTCCACCTCTCCCTGCAGGGACCAGTCCTCCTCAGCCTGGTCTCTCACCAAAGCTACAGCATCAGCCTTGGGGTGGTTCCCTCTCCCCAGCACTAGCTACATCCTTTGCGGGGGCTGCTGAATGAAAATGCAGGTCCCTTTATTAATAAATTAGGTGTCAAGCTGGTGGCAACAGAGTATTAAACCAAATTCAGTAACATCCATGAAGCCAGCCTTGCCTCTTCTCATCCCTAGCCCTAAGCAGGGAATCTTCCTTTTTCCTCCAATCCCTATCCCACTAAACCCTATCCCAGCACTTTCAGACTCCAGCTCTCATCTGGCACTCAAGACCCCCATAGCAGTGTGGCCCATCTCTCCCCAACATGGGCCCTTTTTCATGAGAGAGTGTCACCATGTGCTAGATCCAAGCCATCACTGAGCTACTTGCCTTGCTTGGAGTGCTCTTCACCATCCCCTCCATCTACACAGTCCCTGTTCTAGGTCTATCTACCTCCTGTCCTGCTCCAACCACCACAAATTCTGCAATGCTGGTTGCGGTCAAAGTAGGCAGATGGGAAGTAGTAGTGTCCATGTGGGCAGGAGCTGTGGGTGGATCTCCCAGGTCACCTGGACCTTTTCATCCTTTGCAGGAAGGTGGGAACAGGATTGGCAGCTAGGAAAATTCTAGAGCAGCTCTTTCTTTCCTCCTGAGTGTTGGTGGGCAGAGGCTGGCTCAAAAGGTCCCTAGAGGACCTCTCCACCTACAGATTCATACCTAAATGCCTTTCAGTCAAAGGGGCCCTGATATGTCCCAGGCTCAGCAGAATGGTTAGCAGTGTGCCCGAGTGAATGGGAAGAGCAAGACCACCAGGTGACTTTCCTGCCAGGCATGTAGCCACCTCATGCTCCATTTGAGTGTAGATACTTACATCTCAGGGCGTGGCAGAGCTGGTAGGCCATGTGCCGGACGTGTGGGAGGGGGTAAGGCTGGAAATTATTCTCCTTCAGGAATTCAAAGGTGTTCTTGCCCAGGAGCTCAAAGGCGATGCACATGTGACCGTGGAAGTTAAACCAGTCAGACATCAAGACGCACAAGCTAGGGGAGAAAGATGGATGGGGCTCAGGCTCTGTGCTGAGGGGGCTGGCTGCCCCACCCCTTCCCTCAGATGAAGCCAGTCCCCACTCCCTCCCAGGCCACGGTGCAGATACACAAAGAGAACCAGTTAACAGCAAGAGTACATCTCCCACCAGCCATCACCCAGATCAGCTTTGAGCAAGGACTAAACTTAATGCTATGAGGGGGGTGGGCTAGGGGGGCATTTTGATTTGAGGTCTCCTGCCTACCTACATAAGATATTGGGCATAATCCCTGCATCTCCAAGAAAGAATGATGCCAGGATACTCCACAGGACTAGCAGTGCCTTTTTCAACTCTCTCAATGGAAATTCCTGAGTCTGTATGCCAAAGGTGGCTCTCCTTTGGGTGTCTGATTATGTGAGCCCCAGCTTCCAGTTTATATCTTGTCTAATGCTCAGTAAGGCCCACAAATGCAGGGGTGAGAGGCCTGCTTCAGAACTCTGAGCTGGTTGTGGTAAAACCTGGGCTGGAATCCAAAGGCTCCTTCCAGCAAGAATCACTTACCCAACTCCCCTAGTTCTGAATGCACAGAGAAGTTATGATGCCAACCAAGTGAGAGGATACTACTGCTCAGCCCCAGAAGGGTCCAGGGAATTAGGGTTAGAGAGGATGCTTTCCTCACTCCTTGCTGACACTCACAACTTGTTCTCTTTGTCCTTTTCCTTGATCTTTTTGAGAACATTGATTTCTAGTCGGGCAGCCTCCCGGTACTTGCCCACGTTGC